GAGCAGTATTGGGGCTGATATGCACATGCGAGGTTAGTGCTGTGCCCTTCCAATCAAATGCTTCTCATAGGGAATGTTGAATACAATGCTTCCCTGTGAGCTACATTTGATGACGTTCGATGTCCCCATGCAAAGAACAAAGTTAATCCCAATCATTGCAGTGGAAGGGTCTCTAGTGGCTGCCAGGAAGACAGCCACTGCAGGTGTGTTTAATCCCCCAATAATAACATTGCTCTAACTCCTAAATGGCAATGTTTTGCAATGCAGTGCTAAGATGGCAGGGCCAATACATCCAGACATTTTCATTGAGGTTAAATGTTCTGGGAGGCTCCAGTGGTCCTTTCAATGTCTTGTTTCCTTAGCTAGTAAATCATTTTGATCACATAGCTAAGTGCCTGATATCTTATATTATAACAGATAAAATATATTCCAGTTTTCTTTGCAACAATTAACACAACATGCAGACAGGTTCTGATATTTACAAACATACAAAAGTTAGCTCTGCGCTCAATCTCCCACTACTTCTATAGTACTCATCAGCCCCAATACGTAGAATAAAAACCAATAAAAAGTTACCTGCGCACTATCCCAAATCCCTACACACATTTAAATAACTGGAGGCTTTTAGAATCCCTCAATTGGCCATTAAAGGACCACTATAGGCACCCAGAAAACTTCAGCTTAATGAAGTGGTCTGGGTGCCAGGTCCAGCTAGGTTTAACCCTTTTTTCTATAAACATAGCAGTTTCAGAGAACCTGCTATGTTTATAATAGGGTTAATCCAGCCTCTAGTGGCTGTCTTATTGAGAGCCCGGCAGGAGGGGGACCCTGAGGGTGGGGGACTATAGTGGTCCTTTAAATGTTTTGCTTTTTTTTTTTTTTTTAAGATGACAAGTGTATTTTTTCATATTCGTTATAAGTAGGTGTGAACATACAATGGAAGAAACAAATCAGGACATTGGAAAATATTAAACACAAAATCTATACAATACAAGAGTCCTGAACCCATGAGAAATGCATACACCCCTACTGACCCTTTTTTTTACAAAAAACAAAAGAGAGATAAAATCTACAAAAGAAAAAAATAAAACAAAAGGAGAAGGAGAAGGAGCAAAGCCACAAAAGATGTTAGAAAAATAAACAGAGAGTGTAAGGAAGGGATGGTGTTAGAGTGAGAATGATGCTCTTTGAGAACCTTAAACAAAGAATGTTATGAAAGTTGATGAGTAAAATAAATCCACGGTCCCATGTTACAGTGAACCATAGCTCATAATTTGCCCATCAATGCGTCATGTATCTTTGCTATAACTGCTGCTTTAGTCGAAGGGGGACTTAGTGTATTGTAACATTATCTTTTTTTTTTTTTTTTTTAAATGAGATTTCATATTTGGGACAGTTTTCTTTAAATTTAGGAAGTTTGTTTAGGAAGGTGTTTATGGTGCAAACAAGCTGTCCCTGCAAACCTATTTTTCAATTCCCTCAGGTTTTGTTCTAATTAAACATCACCCATACTCTATCGTCTTCACCCATTTAGGGTTATTCGCTAAATGCGCTATGTAAGCTTAGTCAGAACACTCTGACTGTTATAAGCCAACCAATCAGTGCGCTCTAACTGATATTACATAGGGCAGGAAAGCCCTTATATGGGCTCTCTTCATTATGGAAGCTCAGTCTGCACCAAGCCCTCACAAGGCAAAGATGGATTCTTTTCATTGCATCACATTTTTAAATTTTTTGCTCCTGCACATTTCTTTGCTAATTTTTATTTTGTTTTTTATTAGTTGTATCAAGAATTGCAGATTCTAATTTGGTCTTAGAAGAGTTAGAAAAAGATGTCTGATGGTAAGTATACTTTATAATTTACAAGTTTTAGTTTTAATGGCTATTTCCTCACTATTAGTTTGATATGGGGGGCAGGTAGGGTTAGTTTATTTTAATGGGGGGCTAGCTAGTGGTTTGTGGACACCTAGCCACCATGGGGATTGGGCACAGACACTTTTTTGGGGGTAAACATTAGCATGTCCTCCCCCCTTTAATATTATTAGTGTCCCCACCCAACACAAATGGCTATGCCACCCATAGGTTGGGACTTGGTGGTTGGACACTTTGTACCCCCTTCTATGATATTTAGATTCCAAACCTGTCATTTGTGGGTGGGGTGTTGTGTGGGTATATTAGGACTCACTGTATTATAAAGAGAGCTCTCATTCACCACCAGTGGGTGAGAGCTTGGGACATTATGTTCCCCTCAATATAAAGTTAGTACATCACCCACAGGCTGTGGTGCTGAGGGGGACATTTTTTATAGTTCTATAGCCCTCACCCAGTGGCCAAACATGGAAGCAGGGGGTGGACAATGTTCTTTCCACCTCCCAATACTGAATTAAAAGTCCCCCAGCTGATGCACAGATGGAGGCACCAGGAGGTTTATCAAAGCCCTTATACACTCAAACACTTTCAAATTAATTTATTTGTTTATTTATTTTTACTTTATTGTGAAGGCTGACTATCAAGCATTGACCAGCCTCCACAGTATTAACACTTGTTCAGATACGGGTTTTCAAACTATGGTAACTATTAACAGGTAAATAGTTTGGATTTTTTTTAAGCATTTGGGTCCAGTTTTATACCATTCGGCGGTGTTTAGTCTGGCTGAAATCCGTTTGCTGCCTGATTCATAAAATCTGGACATTCCTGAATACAATGAACAATGTCTGGTAGGGATGGGAGCAAGGGTGTGTGTTATGAGTGTAACAAGCATGAATCCTGGATCATGGAGCCAATAACGATGCTGGCGAGGAGGTATACCTTTGATTAACATCTCATTCAACAATAAAATGTATAATTTATTACCATGATAAAAAAAACATTTTAATGATACTTGTTGCATAGGAAATATTGTTATAAATTATAGTGAATTACTTCACTTTAAGCATATCGTGGAAAAACTGATATATTAGCTTATTATCGATCAAACATGAACAGTTTTGGCAGAAGATTGGATGTAGAAATCTAGATCTGTTGACATTAAAATGTATGAGTGAAAAAGAGACAGGAAAAAAAGAGAAATCACATGAATTAACAATTGACAAGGATATTTACCGTTATTATATGCTGGGTTATTCTTAATGTCTGCGCACCAAACATTTGCTTGATTAACCAACTAAAGGGAGGAAGACAGAATCATTTTAATATATTTAATGTACTCTTCCTATCAGAGTTGCATATTGAATTTAGATGTTTTTTTATTTTACCCCAAAATCTCAAGGTCATACAACTGCAAACTAAAAATGTATTCACTAAATAACTGAAATCAGAGACCTATTGCTATTTATTCTCTACATATAAAGAAATTGGTCAAGTGACTCAAAGAATTTTTTTTTAACCAAACCTACTACTACAAGTCAGGTATCATCTGTTATTCCATTTGATAAAGTCTTAGACGAAACGCGTTATGGATATTTAATTATTGTGTTTGTAAATATATTAAAGTATTTTTTGGTCATTTGTTTGTGCCAATAATCCTTTTTTATAGACACATAATACTCTTTTTACCCTTGCTTTTTAATTATTATTTTTATTGGTTTTAAAAAAAACCTGAAAACCCCTGGAAGTTTCCTGCATTTAAAGAAATCCAAGGTGGAGATCAATCCACCCAAGCTGTCATCACGGAGCAGTTGGTCTGCTCTGGTTTTGTAAGTACATTCTTTTATTATTTTATCAATATTGCTATACAGTGAGCACTATTGGCTGTCTCTTTTATTTTGAGAAACTGGACACGTATCACAGAGAGGAACCCATCTATATCCCATAAGCGGGGATCAAACCGCCGTATGCGCTTTATTCCAGAGCTAGGACATTAGCTCTGATAAATGTGAGTTTTATATTATTTCTACACATCCATATTAGAACTCTACATACTACACTATTGGTTGTTCCCCTCTCTCTTTTTATCTTTCATATAAGTGGACTCACTACAAAGTAGAAGACGTCAACAGCAAAGACTATCTGTAAGGACAATAATATTGGACTTTTCCTTCTTTCCAATTGGACTCTATTAATATCTCATATTTTATTATAAAACTTTTTTATTTTATTCTACTCTAATTTTATCTGTGTGCGCAGCCTTTTTTCTTCTATTTTTTTATTCTACTACTAATGAGGTCCAAAAAATATTATATTTGTATACAATTGCCAGTAGCTGTAATAGATACCTTACAGTGTAGATTTAGACAAATATCTTTAAAATAAAGGTGTAATAGAAGATGTATAAATAATTGGTAAAAAGTATATGTCAGGGGAAAGGGGGGGAGGGAGGGGCGGAGCTAGCAGTTAAACTGCCTGGTTGTACATTGCCAGAGCTCTGAGTGAGATTCCACAAATACAGCTGAAAACACAAGGAAATTCAAGTTTTATCTGCACTAACTGCTGCAGATACCTACCTGTTGACATGAGGTGCCGAAGCAAGAAATATAAGCTTGACCGCCAACAGATGACAGCCGACATAGGCGATTTGCTGTGGAGGCCACAATCCTCGCAGAGACCTGTCATGGTGCCTCTGTCAGACGGACTCTCACACATGTCCAGGGAGGAGTCCCTACTAAGGAAAGCAGATCATTGGGTGAGACCGGAGGGTCGAACCCCTCACTCAACTCCAAACCAGTCAACAAACCCCCAGTGACTGAAGACATTCTGCGGAGCCTCTTAGATGAACCACGCCTCAATATCACGGCCGACATTGGCCAGTTTCGTGAGGAAATCAATGGAGTCTCGGCCCGACTCCACAACACGGAGCTGAACACAGAAGCCCACAAGACTCGCATTGCCACTTTGGAGCAACAACTATCTACTATACAGCGGTCTCATAAGCAAAACCAGGACCGCATTGCTGTTCTAGAAGATAAGCGGCACTGGAAAAATATTAAACTACGTGACTTACCTGACACCATCGTAGCGGCGGAGTTCCGGCACTTTTTCCAGAGATTGCTCACCATGCTGTTCCCAGCTAAACAAACAAAATCTATCAACTTGGATGGTTGGTACCGTGTTGCTGGACCTTCCACTGAAGCACAGAGAAGAAGCAGAGATGTAATCCTTCGCTTCCAACTAGGCACAGACAGAACAGCCTTTATGGTGGCTGTCAGCACTTAGTCACCCCTCGAGGAACATACTCTTACCTTTTTCCCGGACTTATCCAAGGCCACGCTGGACTGGAGATGGTCCCTGAGACCTCTGACACAGGCGCTAACTGCAAACAAGGTGCCGTGTAAGTGGGGCTCTCGCCGAGTTCTGATTGTCCCAAGGGAAACTGGTCTGCTGAAGATCGGAGACGCTTCTGAGATCACCGATGCCCTCCAACAACTTGGCTTGGCAATGCAAGTGTCAGGATCCCTCCATTTACTCTCAGTATTTCTCCATGTTGTTTTCGGCCTGATCGGCAATATCCTTGTCACTTCCGGGTTTCGCCGATCAGATTCCGCCCATGCGTTTGACGTTACGCGCTTCCCTTCAAAAGGAAGCCACATTCGCATCTAACGGGCTATATCAACGTTTTGTGTGCTTTACGCTACATATGTACCACTGCCACCTCTACGCTTATGACACCCAGATATATCTCTCCTCCCCGAACCTCTTCCCTGCCGTCCTGCAACGTGTCCTGCTTGCCTTTCTTCCATCTCTGACTGGATGTCCTCCTGCTTTCTGAAACTCAATCTCTCTAAAACTGAGCTCCTTGTCTTTCCATCTCCTAATACTGATCCTCCTCTTTGCTTTCCCTTTAAGTTAGTGGTACCCACAAAAGTCCATCCTTGCAAGCACGCTGTCTTGGCATCATACTTGATTCTGGCCTCACCATTGAGCCTCGCATCCAGTATGTTGCCAAATCCTGTAGATTCCATCTTAAAAATATAGCCTGCATCTGGGTCTTTCTTACACAAGATGCTACCAAGGAGCTTGTCCATGCTCCAGTAATTTACCACATGGATTATTGTAACCCTCTCCTAATTGGTCTTCCCAAATGCCATATTGCCCCGCTACAGTCTGTAATGAAGGCTGCAGCCAGACTAATTTTCCTCTGTAGTCAGTCCACTTACACCTCACCCCTCTGTCAATCCTTACATTGGTTTCCTGAATCCTTTAGGAGTCAATCAAAGTGCTAACCCATACCTGTAAAGCACTGAACAGTTCTAGCCCCTCTTATATCTCTTCACAGATCCATAGGTATGCCCCTTCTCTGTCTCTTCGCTCTGCCCGTGACCTTCTCCTGTCCGCTTCCCACACCCGTACGGCCAACTCACGCTTGCAGAACTTCTCGCAGTCGGCTCCCTTCCTATGGAATAGTCTGCCTACCACCATCAGACTCCTCCCTAGTCTTCAATCATTTAAGAAGTGCCTTAAAACCCATCTCTTTAGGAAAGCTTATGGCCTCCCATATCTGCCTCTTTCTCTCTCCTAAAGGGCAGCACTTTACTCTCTTCTCCAGCTCTGCTTCACTCCCATCTTATTTGATTTCTATTTCCTGTCCTAATGTGTTATACCCCACCTCCTATAGACTGTAAGCTCGATTGAGCAGGATCCTCTTCAACCTATCGTTCCTGTAAGTTTTCTTGTAATTCTCCTATTTATAGTTAAATTCCCCCCTCTTATAATATTGTAAAGCACTACGGAATCTGATGGCGCTATATAAATGGAAATAATATGTTTCCAATCGTTGTGCCTCTCGACTACCTACTTTGTCGATGGAGCGTCTCTTTTGGATTCTGTGTACCGAACCGTAGCTTGATTCTGACAACGCTAATTCTACTCTCCCTGAAAAAGGAACAGACTACAACTCAGTGTCCTGCCTTCTCCTCGTACTGCAAAGAACCGTAATCCGCATTATCTGGAAAGGACTCTAATGCTCAGTTCTCCCAGTCTGGGATATATTATCGGTACTTACCTTCAGTTATTTGGGAAGCAAGGGATACTAATTCTGATCTCTGGGAATTTATTTGTTCTTACTAAGGACTCTCCTCTGCCAAATGCTATCTATGATATTTCATTATTGCTGATGACTATAACCACTGCACATGCAGAATCAAGTTACTCTCATTTGCCACTGTTAAAAGGATTGTGCTCCTTCTACGCAACAGGAATTACCTGCTCTTTCAATTACATTTGTTGAAAGTCTATGGACTGTATTGCAAGCAATTTACTTGGAAGCAATGTTGAAACAAGTTACCTTCTTTTACGCATTATTTCACAACATTATTGCTGCAAAATTCTTCCAAGCTGAAATTATTTCATTTAAATAAATCATATTTTCTTAAAGTGAAGTATTACATTTGTTTCTTAATCTGTGGTTGAGTTTCAAATGAAATTTCTCTGAGCATTACAGCGAGCCGCTGGGCCGACTACCCCCGTCGCCAGCTACATCTACCTCCTGGGACCCAGAGAGGATTACACCGTTTGTGCCAGCAGCCCACAGGGAGTTATCGTCACCTGCTCCAGTTCCTTGACTTACTATTGCGTTTTGTTTATCAATTTCTTTATAGTTTGTTTATGTACTCATCTATTTTTTCATGAGTTCTGTTGAGCTTTACTATATAATGTTGGATCCCACGGCCAAACCTTTGTTATTTCATTTTTTTTTTTTTTTTGAATGGGCAAATCATTCATACGTGCTACTACCAGGCCCCATTTGAATACTGTCTCACTGACAGAATGTTAACTTCTAGTCCCATTGACCTCTCCCCCCACACATACACAGAACCTGTACTTGGCTCCTAAGCTTAGTCATATCTTAACATATATGGGGTAACTAGCTTCTGTAACGTTTCTGCTAAGATAACAGTTTAAGATATCAGAGGCATCTATTGTTCCAAGCCCACACATAGTTAACCATTAACCACACCCCAAACCCAGGTTTTTTGCAGGAGGGCTTGATAGTCAGTTGCCGCTTGCGGACCTCCCCTGTCGTGGGCGACGCGCCTGATGTACCTGGTTCAAGACCCTTGAGGTCTTCACTCCGCATGGGCGAATGAAAGGGAGAGTAGGTGAGTGTACGGGTGCTGTGCCCGATAGGGGCCCCTCCACTCCCTGCCAGCTGCTTCTCCGATTGCCTGGCATAGGTAGGTGTTTTGTTGGTAGTGTCTCTGAGTGCTCCTGCTGCTCAATCCAGACTGACAGCGTGTGTATTTGTATTCTTTCCCAGAATCTTTAAAAATTTTATATCTAGACGTTACTGGGTAGTTTCAGTGGTGTTGTGATAAGGTCTCAGGCATAGACGCAGGCCTGACTCGTTTGGTGGAAGCTCAGTCGTCATCTTGATTGCTCCTTATAGGAGAAGCTCCCCTACCTTGCTGCACAAGGCTCAGGATTCAGTTAAGGTAGACAGCCCCAGTTATCCAGTGGGGACCGGGATATGCCCACTGGTCTAGAGGGGGGAGGGTAGGAGTGCTGTAGGATCAGTAAGAGAGTTTTCAAGTGAGGAGAGCGGCCGCCTCTGGCTCAGTCCCTAGTAGGCCGTAGCAGAGTAATTCGGGTCCCCGGCTGGGTACATGCATGAAATAGGTGTCAGAATGATCACCAAGATGCCTTCAGAGAGGGCAGAGAGTATGATTGTTGAGTAGCTGGAATTAGCTCCCCAAATTCTCTCTGAGGCTCAGGAGCTTGGTCTCAACATGTCTGCTCTGCATGGAAGCTAGGCTCCGCTCCCTTTATATTGCCTATTGACTAAATATTGCATTTTAAATAGCAATGACTCTATCCTACCTTTAGAGCCTATCCTTGTGTAATAATTTGAATTACACTTTAATTTTATGAGTACTTTTCTAGATGTGTATGTTTTTTCCCTATAGATTTTTTTCCTTTATTTATTTAGTATATTTTTAGTTTATGCCTTTTTACATATCTTGTATATTTTATTTTTTGAAATACAATTAATCGCACAGAGGAGATATATCTAAATTGAATATTAATAAAGATTTAAAGAATTCTGTTTAGATCCGCCCCATAAGGTAACTATTATAGTTACTGGAAGTTTATACAAATATAATTTTTGGACCTCGTTAGTAGTAGGTTTGGTGTGCATCATTTTCTTCAGTTTGTATTATTTTCTACATATACTGAACAAAGTTATAAACGCAACACTTTTGTTTTTGCCCCCATTTTTCATGAGCTGAACTCGAAGATCTAAGACTTTTTCTATGTACACAAAAGGCCTATATCTCTCAAATATTGTTCACAAATCTGTCTAAATCTGTGTTAGTGAGCACTTCTCCTTTGCCGAGATAATCCATCCACCTCACGTGTGGCATATCAAGATGCTGATTAGACAGCATGATATTGCTTAGGTGTGCCACAATATTATTATTATATTTATATAGCGCCATCAAATTCCGCAGTGCTTTACAATGGGTGGACGAACAGACATGTAGTTGTAACCAGACAAGTTGGACACACAGGAACAGAGGGGTTGAGGGCCCTGCTCAATGAGCTTACATGCTAGAGGGAGTGGGGTAAAATGACACAAAAAAGGTAAGTATAGTAAAAGACAACTCTAAAACTAACACAGATGTAGACATGTTTGTGAACAATATTTAAGAGAAATAGGCCTTTTGAATAAATAGAAAAAGTCTCAGATCTTTGAGAAAAATGGGGGCAAAAACAAAAGTGTTGCGTATATAATTTTATTTAGTGTAGTTATATGTTGTGAACTGTAGTTATGAGAATTGTACAATTGATTCCACAATGACCAAATAAAAAAAAGTTAAAATAAAACTCATTTCAAAACTGAATAAGTCAAAACAGCTATATTTGTGGATTAGGAAGACAGTCTTTGTGACGTGGATAGGAAGCAAAATGAAAAAGTGGTAAAAGGGACCTCACAATTAGCATTTTTTTTTTACAGTTGAAGAAAAAAGGAAGATACAGAAAGCCCAGAGGGTACATAGAATCTAAATGGTACACCTACGGGTTTCTAGTATAACTAAAGCAACCCCTAGCCCAATAAAATATAACTTTTAATAATAAATGATTAAAAATAAAAATATAAGGGGAAACAAGCACAATTGCTATATATAAAATATAATGTCTAAAGTTAATTATGACTAGTAGGAGGAAAAAGAAGGCATAATATAGATATAAATTGAAATTTGTCACATTTGTCCAGTGGTGGCACGGGTGATTCAGGGATAATAGGGTTAAGGTATAAACTATACACAGTAGCCCAGCGTTCACTCCCTGCTCCTATCGTCCTTTCAAAACTTTTATAATGTATTCAGATAATATAATATAGTGATCTATTATATTATATTATCTGAATACATTATAAAAGTTTTTATGTTAATCTATTGAAATAACCTTT